AATTTTCTTTTGTCCAAGTCTTCAAATTAATAAATCTATAGTATATTATAAAACATCACACACAATAATATACTGCAAACAACAAGATAAATACATGATTTTGAACGTTAGAATTTATGCCATTTAAGTGAAGAATGCTCTGTATTCACGAAGTGAGAAGATACAAATAAATGTTCCAAAAAAACATCTGGACAAGTACAAAATGAAGAAAATTAAGATAGATCAAGTCCTCTCAAAAAATGGGAAGTTGGGAAATTTAAGAACTTAACAATTTTATGGCAATTTTTTTCAAAATAAAGAAAAAAGAATTCCGCGTTCTCAAATTTTCAAACGCTAAAGCAATATAGGGTCTATTTTGTAGAGATTTCTGTTTGTTTTTGTTATCATATCGTCATCACAATTTCTGTTTGGAGAACTGATTTCTTGTTGTTTCTTTGAAATTTTAGTGGTAAGAAGCTATCTTTTTTCAACCCGAGATGTTAAAATGTGATGACTGCCAGAAAACTGCGGTCTGACTTTTCGAAGATAACATTTTCTTCTTCAGTCGTTTCATAGTTGTTTCTTCAAACAGTTGCGAATGCCTCAAACATACTCATAGAGAGATTCATCATCCCCATCTCTGCTTAGAAGTAAACAAAAATCACTTAAACTAATTTCACAGCTCAATCATTTTCTTATATATTGCTTTCTATAAAAAAAATTATTAAGGGTTTGTTTGAGGTAGTTGTAATTTTTTAAAAAAGTGACTATAAAAATGTGATGGAAAAAATAATTTCTTAAAATGCTATTGTGGAACATAGTAGGTCAGGTTAAAAAAACAGCTTTCCACCGTAAAAATTTCTAGAAAACAATAAAATAATAATTCCTCAAGCAGAATTGTGACGATGGTCTGAAACACAAACGACATGTATTCTGTCCTAAAAACGGAGGGTTTATTAACCTTTAATATAAACTGAAAATTCATTCTATCTATTTCAAACATTCTATATGAACAAGAAATAAAGTGTGTAACTAATTTGGCTCAAATTATCAAAACCTCCGCCTAACAAACACACAAGTTAAATCAAGCGTAAATATTACTTGAGCTTGAGAATCGAGTTAATGCTTATGAATAACGTTAGTAAGAAATGTGGCAAGTTCAACATTTCTTAATTAAAATCTCATAATATTTAATCTTGTCGATGATAAAGTAGTGTCGAACAACATTATATTTGATCTATTATGATACATCCGATCTCTACAAATGTGAAGAGAACTCTGCTGTCACAAGAAAAATACTGTTTTCCTAATGCAAAGATGAATATTCCTTAATTAAGCATGGTTAAACTGATTCTATGAAACTCAGAAAAAATGCCTACCTCCTTTGGAGAATTTAAGCTCACATAAACATTCAATTTTTTTAATTCTATGATTTGATGGTATGATATTAAGAAAAATATATTATCTTAAATGATAGAAATAATATGCGACAAAATAGATTCAAATATAAAAATAATAATTTTGAAATGTTTCTTATGCTTTATAAGGATTTTTTCTTTACCAAATTTGGGCAAGGTAAAATTTACCTTACTTTAGAGCACAAATTTTCTATAAAAACAAATCATTATCGTTAAGTACACCCTAGGAGAATTAAAACTTTAAAAAGCTCTTAATTGTAATAGTGATTTGTGTTACTTTATATTACAAAGTTTAAATACAAAGATATTATTTTAAAAATATATTGGGACAGCTTAAATTAGAAAAAAATCTCATAAACTTTTCAAACTATCTTATTTTTGGGTTTCACTGTTTTGAAATTAAGATTTATATTTATTTTTGTGATTTATTTTTTAAAAAAAATTGGAACTTATTCTTGATCAACATGATACATCCCTACAACATACCATTAAGGAAGCATGTAGAAAATAGAATTCTAATGAAATATGATAAATTAATTGACCTCTGAACTTAAATTAATGTGAGAACCACTATTGAGATATTATTTTGAAATTAACTATATCAATATGTAAATAATTCATGTATGTTAATTAAATTTAGGACTAAAATAATATTGACTTTATTGAGTTTGTGCTATTGTCAATAAAGGATGATCAACTAAGCACACTTAAATTATCTTAGAACCACGAGATTTGATCTATTAATATATAGGATATGTAATGTAATTGTATAGTTAAAAAGGAAGTTAGAGTTACAACTTAATCATATAGTTCAAGCAGCCAAACTATGATAAATAATGCAATGTTTATAACTTTTATATTTTCTTTCTTCTAACTATCTCGTTGTTAGGTTAATGCATTTACTCCTAAAATCGAACTAAGCCTAACTTCACTAAGGTCATTTATGTTTTCTCCTTAGTTGAAGCTAGGTTATATTGCTAATAGTTTTTTCCCTAACTGGGTATCTAATGGGTGAATGAAAAGCAATCAACCTTACTATTCAATACGATGAAATGAACCACCAAATGGCTGAAATATTCTATTTGGGGTCAAATATATTATCACAAATATTACAATATTTGAAAAGTAAAAGTATTATTGATAATAGATTTAATCACAAGATAAGTAATTTTTAGAACTCAAGATCTATGTTGATAGAGGTTTTTTCTTATGTTTTAACCCAATTGGCTATAGAAACCCTAGTTAACTTACCCATTTAAACACTAATGTAACCAAACTAATGCTTAGAAGATATTAGGTTAATGAACCATTGTCGTAATTAGCTACCTAAGGACTATGCTTAAACTAATTTACTAGATGAGAAAAATTGCAAGTCATTAGCCTAGATTTAACCTTAACTAGAAATAGTGTTTATTCAAAATCATTAACCAAGATTAATGCAACAATACTTTAATTATTTAGTAAAAAGCACAATATTCTACTTCCTCAAGTTTAGGCTTTCCATTAGCTTTCCAAGGTAGCAAACTAATGTTTAGAGTTTGGTTAGTAGACGATTTAGCAAAGTATTAAATTGGATAATATTCTTTGGAATAGTTGTAACTGTTTGAACAGACAATTATGATTTCTTTGTAGAAAAAAGTTACGATTCAAGAAATTTTGATAACTATTATTTTTTTTTTCAAAAAGTTAAATCATAACTTTCTGACAGTCGTCAAATAATTTTGATACTTTTCTAGCACAACTATTTAAGAAAACAGAAAAAAATTAATTTTGACAAATACATGAGCGCTATTGCCACCCCAATCTGGCCCTTAGCCTGATACAACTATCAAATATAAATTTCTACGAACATAAACGATGTACATATTTCTATGACTTCCTCTGTTATAACAGATATAAAATCAAAATGTTATAGTTCAGGATAAAAGCAGTGCATTCTTCATTAGGTATAATTTGTATTATTCTCATCTAAAACAATAAACAGAAAACCACAACGATGACAGAAAAGAAAAGGTGTTTTAGAAAATACAAAATTGTGACTAAATATAATAATTTAAATTTAGTCAGCTGCAGTATGGAAACTAGTAGTAATTATAATTTCCGTCATAGACACTCGCTTCTCTGTTCTCAGGCTCTGTTTAACTAGCCGGCCACAAAAGTTCATTTCTTGGAGGGTGAAGTAAATGATTAATTAATTTTCTCCTTCGGCAACAGGCCGGCCACTAAATTAAATTTAAATATAAATCAAATGAAATAAATAGAAGAAATCAAAGATTGCTTCAATGGCGCCTTTCTTGCCCGCCAATTTACGAGCTGTAAACCGTCGGACCTAACTAAGCAGTGTGAAGCCAAAAAAAGAAAAAAAAAAAAATCTAATGCGGGATGCAAAATAATATATTTAACTATTTTCTCAGCATTTTTCATTTCGCAATTTTAAAATATTTCTAAGAAAAATAAATAAATGTCGTTGAAAAGATGTATTAAAATTAAATTATTTGAATTTGCTGAACATAAATTCCAAATAGCAGTGTTAAGAGAATAAGATAAATATATTATATTACATGAGCACATTCTTAAGAATTTTTGTTTCACTCGGTTATTAAATCCAAATTTATTTGGTGAAAAAATAATGAAATTTATTTGAGAACTACCAATTGCAGGAACTGCTTAATTCAATTCATGAAATCTCTTAAGAACTGCTAAGGGAGTTTTCGGTCTAATTAAGTCAAGTAAAACCTTGAAAATTAAATTTATTTATATAATTCGGTCTTTTAACTGAGCTCATAACCTAGACTAGTCTTTAAAAAAATCTAGAGACTTATTTTATGAAGAAAAATTTAGAGGAATCTAGAGCTAAATTTGAAATGAGTGATTGAGAGAATTCTAGAATATGTGATTAATGATTTTTGTAACGTGAAAAAGTAGAATATTCTAGTGAGTCGATAGTAGCCATTGGATTGAAATGTGTCGGCACAATCATGATAGGGTTATCACTAGTATAAATATGTGTGGCGTATCAAGAAAAAATAAAAAAATTTAAGAGTGAAATACAAGTGAGTTTTAAAAGTGTTCCTCCTCTTTTTACCATTCCTCTTCATGCCATAGCCTCTTTTCTTCCAACATAAGAAAGATAGAAAAAAAATTTCAGTGGATCTTGAGAATTAAGTTTGAGGAAATTTATAAATATAACACACTATTCATATGTATTTACATATCAAGTCTGTTATTTATTGTTAAAACCTCGCATGAAAATATGTTTTTTTTTTATTTTTGAAAAGATAAATTTTTTAATGCCACAATAAGAATTATGAATTTTTTTATTAAATAGAATATCAACACCGCACATGTATCATAATTATAAGAAACAATTGCCATGGCAAATTCAAACCAAACAAACAAATCAAAACAAAAACAGGACAAATTAAATAAACAAACAGCGAACAGACTGGCACAAAACTTCCTTAATATCTATTTTATAATTGAAGGGCTTCCATGACTTCGTCTGTGATTTGTTTGCTGACCAATCCAAAATAAACAAGTAAATAAATAAAAGCTATCAAAAAGTCCAATAAAAATGAAAAAATTGCCATTTGTTCTCAATTCAACCTCATTTCACTCTCTATATAAACGCAGCTCGCCATCTCTAAGAACTAAGAAGACGAGTCCTGGTTGAAAAATAGCAAAAAGCAAGCTTTTTTCAAACAATTTTCTAGAAAAAGAAATGGGTTCCCTCTCATCAAAGAAACCCCACGCCGTGTGCGTTCCATATCCAGCACAAGGCCACATGAACCCCATGCTAAAATTGGCCAAAATCCTCCACACCCAGGGCTTCCACATCACCTTCGTCCTAACCGATTTCAACTACCGCCGGATGGTTCGTTCGCAAGGCCCTGAGTCTGTTCAAGGACTTGCAGACTTCCGTTTCGCTTCCATCCCCGACGGCCTCCCATACTCCGACGAAGATTCTACGCAAAACGTTCCGGACCTCTGCGTGTCTACGATGACGACCTGTCACGGTCCCTTTTTGAGTCTTCTTGGTAAGCTCAATGAAGAGACTTCCTCCGGTGAACCCCCCGTATCTTGCATCGTCTCGGATGGGGTCATGAGCTTCACACTTGACGCAGCCCGCGAGCTCGGCATCCCCGAGATCCTTTTCTGGACAACCAGCGCGTGCGGATTCCACGCCTACCTCCACTTCCAAGAGCTTCTGGATCGCGGCCTCGTTCCTCTCAGAGGTACACGGATGAAGGAAATTTTTTCTTAATCGTGAAAATTGTTAATATTTTTCTAGATCTTCCGTTTTTATTGTTATTTTTTATAAATATTTAGTTATTGAACGAAATTTTTTTTTTCAATAATTAATAATTTTTAGAGGCTATTTGGTAAGAAATTTAATAAAATTTTAAAATTAAGATTTACATTAAAATTACAGACCACCCAATTTTTTCGTATATAGATAACTAACGCAAAGTTTGATACTTATATTAATTAAAAGAAGTATATTCAATTTAAAAAAGATAATGATATGAGTTCTGATGTTAATAATTTATGAAAAAATTACATATGCGGTGCTCAATTCTTATGTATTTATATGTCTCACACCCAAATTTTAAGTTTTATAAGTGGATTATAGAAATTCATCTTTTCATGCACAAAAAAAAAAAAATACTTTTATTGTGAAATACTTTTATTGTGAAAATCAAAGTGAAAATCAAAGTTTAAATATAGATAAATAATTGCATAAGAAATGAAATGTCTTGTAAATTCCCCAAAATTTGAATTAAATGCATGTAAATATGAATGTCTAGGTATTTGATGTGAAAATATATAAAACTTGTGTGGCATGTAAGTAAATTTCCCTAAAATGAGAATTAAAAAAAATACTTATGAAGAAATTGAGAAAAAAAATTAAATTTTATAAATCGGGAATTTAAAAATTAAATATAATTTTCTCCTTTAAAACTTAATCAGTTATCAAACAACACTAATGCTCTCTCTTTCAATTATCTTGTTACTAACTTTGTTGTGTTGTCTTGATGTAGATGAGGCCGACTTAAGCAACGGATTCCTTGACGCTGAAGTTGATTGGATCGATGGACTGCAAAAGGGCTTTCGTCTGAAGGACTTGCCCTCCTTCTGGCGTGTGACGGATCGAGAAGAAAAGATGTTCAACTATGTTCTGCACGAGACAAGCAGAGCATCCTTGGGCTCCGCAGTCTTGCTTAACACCATTGAAGACCTTGAAGTACCGGTCCTTGCCGCAATGCGAAAAATCCTCCCTGCCGTCTACACGATCGGCCCGTTATCAGCCCTTTGTCGGAGCACGATACCAAGCGACAGCCCACTCACAACCATTAGATTAAGCCTATGGAAGGAGGACAACAAATGCCTGGATTGGCTTGCCAGCAAGGAACCTCAGTCGGTCGTGTATGTCAACTTTGGAAGCATAACTGTAATGACAAACGAACAACTGATAGAGTTCGCATGGGGCCTCGCCAATAGCGGCTATCACTTTCTATGGGTGATCAGGCCCGATCTAGTGAAGGGAGATTCTGCCGTGCTACCTCCAGAGTTTCTGGAAGAGGTTAAAGACAGAGGGCTGATGACAAGCTGGTGCGACCAGGAGGAGCTGCTATGCCATCCGGCGGTGGGCGTTTTCTTAACGCACTCGGGCTGGAATTCAACGTTGGAGAGCTTAAGTGGCGGAGTGCCGATGATATGTTGGCCGTTCTTTGCGGAGCAACAAACGAATTGTTTTTATTCATGCAATGATTGGGGCGTGGGGATGGAGATTGACAATAACGTGAAAAAGGTGGAGGTTGAGGGATTGATAAGGGAGATGATGGCCGGGGAAAAGGGTAAGGAGATGAGAGCGAAAGCGGTGAAGTGGAAGGAGAGTGCAGCGGACGCAGTTAGTCAGCTGGGGAGCTCTTTTGTTAACTTGGAGAAAGTGATCAAGGAGGTGGTTCTTTCAAGCAGTTCGTAGGGCACAAGAAATTGGATTTGTGGAGGTTTACTACTAGTTCTTGATTACTGTACCTTTTTTTTTTGGCCTGGATTGACAACTGTTATTGTCAGGCAGCTATATCAGATTTGTACTAATACTTCAGAATCAAATTACTATATCAAAGCTTCTACGACATCTGTTGAAAAAAAATATGGAATTTTAAAGTGTATCTTGCTCCATATATATATATATATATATATATATATATTTGTG